TGAGTTTTGTTTTATGCTCCTTGTTCTGCTGCGTGCTTGTTGACTTAGTTCTTTGTTGGTGTTTTCACTAACAAGGAACATGGCTAGCCAATCGCGTGCGAACACTAGCAGCAACCTGGCGAGTTCCACCACACCCAAACCAAATGCTGTCGCTCCTAGCCAATCGCGTGCGACCACCATCAGCTTGTTGGCAAGTTCCACCACACCCAAGTATTTTCGCGCCACAACGTTGTAGCACTTAGCCTATCGCGTGCGACCACAAGCAGGTGCTGTTTTTGTTGGTTTCATCGCGAGTTCGTTTTTATCGCCAAAGGCAGAAATCGAGTCAGGTGTTTGCAACAATGCGTCGTGCAAACTTGAAGATGAGGCCGGCTGTGCTGGCGAGCTGGCGTTCCTCTCACCTTCATGAGCCAATCGACGGAATCGCTGGCGTGTTTCGGCACTTTTCGCCAGACTATTCCACCTCGTTCAGCGTGGATTTTTTCGGGGTGGCGCAATTGTGTGGCGATGCAGCAACTCCAGCTTTTGACACCTTATCAGCAATCTGGCAGTTGCTGGCACTGGAGCAGTGACAGGCAAAGTTGTCGTAACCCTCTCCTTCCCTCCATCCCACCTCAAACTTCCCTCTCCTCCTACCTATTGTTACTCGAGCTTCCATTTGTTCTCCCTCGGTCTGCTAGGCTTTGATCGAGTTAGTGTTCCACACACTCTACTCCCGTCATTTCCACGTAGTTCTCTCAGAAGTTTTCCGCAGCCACCCTAGCTATATACATATCGCTACTTTCTTACAATACCTTAATTACGACTAGAGTAACCACCTGTTTAATTTTCTGCTTTATCGCATCTTCTTGTTTCGTTTTTTTTTTACTCATCATAACTGATTTTTCATTCTGTTTCATAGTACTTTGTGACGATACAGAGAAGGGTAATTTCCGACCAGGTAATCATGTTTTGTATTAGCCCTGTCCTTCACGTGTTTGTGATTTGGTGAAACTAACGTCCTTGTTATGTTGTTTGCAGATCGACTTGGCTGTGACTTTCTTAGTGGCTTCAATTGCATGTGCTTATCGACATATGTTGCCTTGGTGTCGCTTAGTGCCAAAATTATGGGCATGCTGTTTGATATGCTCCCGGCGCCAGCACCAGGTACGTTATGTACCCCATTTGCAAGCTCTGTTTTGTTTTGTTAAGTACTAACGAATAATCGTTGTTTGCCACCTTGTGCTTAGTGTACCAGCATTCCAGGGGCTGTATTAGTACCTCGTAAATGCATGTAACATATGCTTTTCGAAATGAATTTAACGTTACCTCCCTCCCTGTAGAAACTCGCCTAATTCAATGGAAATCAGAAACTCATTTGCTAAAAACGAAATTAACAATGGTCTGATTTTTTAATAATGTATCCATTTTAAATATATCAAGAAGTTACAGTACACGTTGTGTAGCTTATTCAATCTAATTCAATTCGAATCAAATTCTCGAAGCGCGGTCAAAGCTCGAAACCAGACGGTTATCACACCGAAACCATTCGAAACCGAACCACTGAAAAGGGCCGAGGTAGCGCCTGTAAACCACATGAGTTACAGTCACGCCACTTGCTTGGTTTCAGACGGAAACCTGCCCTGTTTTCCAGTCTGATTTCAGCTGCGGGTCCTGAACGCGAGCTGAAAACCAGCTGAAATAAGAACCTGGTTTTTGCGATGAAAGCTGCAGCAGAAATCCAGACTCTAAAAACAATGATACGTCTAAATTTTGGGCGCATGATAATAAAACAAGACGCTGATTGAGTGAAGCTTTCAAGTCACCTAAACCCTATTTGAACACTTTGCGTGACTCACGGTTCGTGCCAGGAAAGCAGCAAAAGAAACCCATCCTCGATCTTGTTTTTAAAGCAGAGAAGTCAGGTCCACTGAGCATAGCTTTTCCGATATAATTTATTAATAGTTACTACAAAGTGCGGTCGCAAGTTGAGCTAGAAGGTACCTTTGAGATGAGAGACAAACAGCAAGGAAATGTAGTGTGGATGCAAAATGTGCAGGATTGTGCAACAGCGAGGGAGGGGAATGCTTTGGGGCTTGAATCAGGTGAAATTGTGGCTGTTGCGCGTGCCCCACCAATATCAGTTGTTTGGTTTGGATTGGTTGGGCGGGGTGAGTGAGTGGTGAGATGAGAAGAGCCTTTACGGGATGAGTTGCTGTCGGTCCTAGAATTCTTATTGCTGACTTTGTGTTGACTTTTCGGGCCATCCTGACTAGACATTGATAAACTGAGTCAGCATGGTTGGCTGACAATGTAGCAAACACATGACACCCAACACAAACACGCCAACCTAGCAGGCATGGACTGCAACGTGCATCTCAATTAGAGAGTTTTCGCAAACTTCGCCACCAGCTTCAAGGGACTGTATATCCTCTGGCGGGTTACATATATGTAAGGAGAAATCCCTTTCATATATGTAAGGGTTTACTGCTTTGTGTGTACAACCCCCACTTTTGGAAATGCACGTTCGGCCGGATCGCTTGCTACCGAAGCAACCTCGCGTCGATTTGGCTTCATTCAAAATTGAACCTGCACCCAACCTCGTGTTCCCGAGGTTCCGCCTAGCTAGGTTCACCCACTACATTATCCCGTGCCTTTCATTGTTTATTCAGTCCATATTGTCAAAGCATCGTTATTCGTTATTCCGCGCAACTCGGTTTGACAATCATAACGCTTGGTATCAGAGCTACTTTCCTAGTTCACCCCACTTTTCGAGGGTAATTTAGTGGCACGAGTGTGACTGGTATGGTGGGGTGTGAAGTGGTTGGCTGCAAAGTTTATTCAATTAAACTTGCCCGACTCCGTAGTTTTTTTCACTTGCACTGATGCCGGATAGTCACGGATACCCACTTGCCTACTAGACGTAGCTTGCGATACACGGATCAGGCGGCATTCAACGCATTGTTGCAACACGTGGCTGATATGCAGGCAGACATGAAGGTGTTAACGGCAGAAGCGGAGAAACTACGTGAAGAAAACACGGAGCTACGCTTGGCGCGAGGTGAAACGCGTCAGGAGTCACCCGATGACGAAGGCAAGGGCAACAGTCAAGCAGTGAGCAACCCATTGGACGAGCTCATACGAGGCTTCGAAGAAGAAGATGGGCAACGAGTGGTAGCGACGACAGTTGCAGTAACAACGATAAATATTAAACCAGTGAGCCCATCCCCGTTCAACCCTACAGAAAAAAATATTACTGTTAAGGGGTGGCTCTTCGACATGAAAGTCCTCTTCACTGCAGCGAACGTCAACGACAGTGCCACGGATATAAATTACGCGGTATCGCTTCTACGAGCCCCAGTGCTTGAATGGTGGTGCCGAACCATGGACACGAGGACCCCGACAGGTGTGACACATGCCGAAGACAGGACTTCTGACTCTGCAAACGAACGAGCAGTATCGATATTCGGTGTGACTACAATTCGCACTTGGAAGGAGTGGGGCGCAGCCTTACGAGAGCGTTTCGAGCATGTATCTGTCAGAATATATTATATATATTTATGTATAACTGCATATAGTTATAGCTGTAGTGTAGTTACTGTTTTCGTCCCTGTAGGTGGTGCACCCTTTGCCATCTCTCACTCCTATATCTTGTACCTTGCTTTCTTAGTGAAACCACTTCTTCCTTGCTTTCTCAACTCTCTCGACACTTGCCTAGCTCTCACACCCTAGCTATGGCTCCTATGACTTTAACATGGTATTAGAGTAGTTACGCTCCTTGGGCCCACCACCTGCTGCCCTGCGCGCCGCCCTCGTGCGGCCCCATACTCTCGGCGTTCGGCACGGCCCATCGCCCATCGCCCCTAGGCCCCGGCCCCGTGGCCCGTCGCTCGCGCCCGTCGCCCCTCGGCCCCTCGCCCCTAGGCTTGTCGCCCCTAGGCCCGTCGCCCCCAGCCCGGCCCGTAGGCCCGTCGCTCCTCGCCCGGCCCGTCGCCCCTAGCCTCCGGCCCCCCGCCCGTCGCTCGCGCCCGCCGCCCCCAGGCCCGTCGGCCCCATCGCTCGTCGCCCCTAGTCTCTGGCCCCCGGCCCGTCGCTCGCGCCCGCCGCCCCTAGGCCCGTCGGCCCCATCGCCCGTCGCTCCCCTCGGCCCGGCCCGTCGCCCGTCGCCCCTAGGCCCGTCGGCCCCTTCAATTTTCTGCCGGATGTGCGCCCTGGCTGCGCGTCGGCTTCTGCCCGTCGCGCACCCCGGGTGCGCGTCGGTTTCTGCCCGATGCGCGCCCCGGCTGCGCGTCGGTTCCTGCCCGTCGCACACCCCGAGCGCGCGTCGGTTTCTCCACACGCAGCTCATTCCCCGCCCCCGCCCCCCTCCCCCCCCCCAATGGGGGTGTTGGGGGGAGTCAGGAGTGGCGGTTGGGGGTGGTTGCACCTCCAGTGCCCCGCTGCTCAGCTTCGTCACCAAGCCAGCAGCCCCCCCACCCCCCCTTTCTTCTCCATCCCCCTGCTGCGCGTGCAGCAGTGGGGGGGAGGGTATGGGGGTGGCGGGTGTGGCGTACGACGGGTGTGGGGGGGAGAGTACGGGGGAGCTTGGAGGTTCAGCGGGTGGCAGGAGGGGATCTGCAGCACCAGCCCCCCCCCCCCCCCGCCCCCCCCCCCCCCCCCCCCTTCTCCTCCATCCCCCTGCTGTGGGTGCAGCAGTGGGGGGGAGGGTGTCAGAATCCCAACCACTAGACCATTGGGATAAAAGGGCTTGTTAAGTAGCGGGTCAGTGCGCCCATAACCCACCAGGACAACGAGCCTGTAACCCTTCCCTAGGATCAATCGGGGATCACCAATGGACCTCCGACACCCCCCCGCACTGGGATGCCCGAAGTGCACACACTGGGATTCGAACCCGAGACCTTCGCTCTGATACCATGTCAGAATCCCAACCACTAGACCATTGGGATAAAAGGGCTTGTTAAGTAGCGGGTCAGTGCGCCCATAACCCCCCAGGCCAACATGCCTGTAACCCTTCCCTAGGATCAATCGGGGATCACCAATGGACCTCCGACAGAGGGGATCTGCAGCACCAGCCCCCCCCCCGCCCCCTCTTCTCCTCCATTCCCCTGCTGTGGGTGCAGCAGTGGGGGGGAGGGGATCTGCAGCACCAGCCCCCTCCCCCCCCCCCCCCCCCCCTTTTCTCCTCCATCCCCCTGCTGCGGGTGCAGCAGTGGGGGGGGGGGGGGTATGGGGGTGGCAGGAAGGGATCTGCAGCACCAGCCCCCCCCGCCCCCCCCACCCCCCCCCCCCATTCTCCTCCGTCCCTCTGCTGCGGGTGCAGCAGTGGGGGGAGGGGATCTGCAGCCCTGTGAGCCCCGCGCGCCCTGCAGCCCTGTGCGCCCCGCGCGCCCTGCTGTCCTGCTGCCCTGCGCGCCCTGCAGCCCTGCGCGCCACGCGTGCCCTGCTGTCCTGCACGCCCCGCGCGCCCTGCAGCCCTGTGCGCCCCGCGCACCCTGCTGCCCTGCAGCCCTGTTCGCCCCGCGCGCCCTGCTGCCCTGCAGCCCTGTGCGCCCCGCGTGCCCTGCTGCCCTGCTGCCCTGTGCGCCCCGTGCGCCCTGCAGCCCTGCGCGCCCTGCGCGCCCTGCTGTCCTGCTGCCCTGCGCGCCCTGCGCGCCCTGCAGCCCTGCGCGCCACGCGCGCCCTGCTGTCCTGCGCGTCCCACGTGCCCTGCAGCCCTGTGAACCCCACGCGCCCTGCTGCCCTGCAGCCCTGTTCGCCCCGCGTGCCCTGCTGCCTTGCAGCCCTGTGCGCCCCGCGTGCCCTGCTGCCCTCCTGCCCTGTGCGCCCCGTGCGCCCTGCTGCCCTGCTGCCCTGCAGCCCTGCACGCCACGTGCGCCCTGCTGTCCTGCGCGCCCCGCACGCCCTGCTGTCCTGCTGCCCTGCGCACCCCGCGCGCCCTGCAGCCCTGCGCGCCACGCGCTCCCTGCTGTCCTGCGCGCCCCGCGCGCCTTGCGGCCCTGTGCGCCCCGCGCGCCCTGCTGCCCTGCTGCCCTGTGCGCCCCGCGTGCCCTGCAGCACTGTGCGCCACGCGCGCCCTATTGTCCTGCGCGCCCCGCGCGCCCTTCTGCCCTGCTGCCCTGTGCGCCCCGTGCGCCCTGCTGCCCTCTGCACGCGCATCTGCGGCCCCATGCACAGCCCCTACCCCGCCCCCCCCCCCCCCCCTTCTCCTCCCTCTCCCTGCTGCACGTGCAGCAGTTTGGGTGGGAGGGGAGGGGAGGGGAGGGTGTGAGGGGGAGGTTGCACCTACAGCGCCAGCCTGCCTCCTCTCTCTCCCAGCCGCACCTGCTGCTGTGGGGGGGAGTGTGAAGTGGTGGTGAGGCTCAGGGGATGTGGGTGGTGGGTGACACAGCTGCCGCAAATGTCGCCACGCCTCCTCCTCTCTCTCCTCACTGCTGCTGCTGCTGCTGCTGCTGCTGTGCGGGGGGAGGTTGAGGGGGTGGTGTGAGTCCAGCTGCAGCATCAGCCGCCTCCTCCTCATTTGCCCTCTCCTTCTTCCGCTGCGCAGGGTGTACCCCTTCAGGGGGTGTTCTGCACATGGCTATTTCTGCATGCAGTTAGGGGGTGTGTCAAAATATATTATATATATATTTCTGTATAACTGCATATAGTTATAGCTGTAGTGTAGTTACTGTTTTAGTCCCTGTAGGTGGTGCACCCTTTGCCATCTCTCGCTCCTATATCTTGTACCTTGCTTTCTTAGTGAAACCACTTCTTCCTTGCTTTCTCAACTCTCTCGACACTTGCCTAGCTCTCACACCCTAGCTATGGCTCCTATGACTTTAACATGGTATTAGAGTAGTTACGCTCCTTGGGCCCACCACCTGCTGCCCTGCGCGCCGCCCTCGTGCGGCCCCATACTCTCGGCGTTCGGCACGGCCCATCGCCCATCGCCCCTAGGCCCCGGCCCCGTGGCCCGTCGCTCGCGCCCGTCGCCCCTCGGCCCCTCGCCCCTAGGCTTGTCGCCCCTAGGCCCGTCGCCCCCAGCCCGGCCCGTAGGCCCGTCGCTCCTTGCCCGGCCCGTCGCCCCTAGCCTCCGGCCCCCCGCCCGTCGCTCGCGCCCGCCGCCCCCAGGCCCGTCGGCCCCATCGCTCGTCGCCCCTAGTCTCTGGCCCCCGGCCCGTCGCTCGCGCCCGCCGCCCCTAGGCCCGTCGGCCCCATCGCCCGTCGCTCCCCTCGGCCCGGCCCGTCGCCCGTCGCCCCTAGGCCCGTCGGCCCCTTCAATTTTCTGCCGGATGTGCGCCCTGGCTGCGCGTCGGCTTCTGCCCGTCGCGCACCCCGGGTGCGCGTCGGTTTCTGCCCGATGCGCGCCCCGGCTGCGCGTCGGTTCCTGCCCGTCGCACACCCCGAGCGCGCGTCGGTTTCTCCACACGCAGCTCATTCCCCGCCCCCGCCCCCCTCCCCCCCCCCAATGGGGGTGTTGGGGGGAGTCAGGAGTGGCGGTTGGGGGTGGTTGCACCTCCAGTGCCCCGCTGCTCAGCTTCGTCACCAAGCCAGCAGCCCCCCCACCCCCCCTTTCTTCTCCATCCCCCTGCTGCGCGTGCAGCAGTGGGGGGGAGGGTATGGGGGTGGCGGGTGTGGCGTACGACGGGTGTGGGGGGGAGAGTACGGGGGAGCTTGGAGGTTCAGCGGGTGGCAGGAGGGGATCTGCAGCACCAGCCCCCCCCCCCCCCCCGCCCCCCCCCCCCCCCCCCCCTTCTCCTCCATCCCCCTGCTGTGGGTGCAGCAGTGGGGGGGAGGGTGTCAGAATCCCAACCACTAGACCATTGGGATAAAAGGGCTTGTTAAGTAGCGGGTCAGTGCGCCCATAACCCACCAGGACAACGAGCCTGTAACCCTTCCCTAGGATCAATCGGGGATCACCAATGGACCTCCGACACCCCCCCGCACTGGGATGCCCGAAGTGCACACACTGGGATTCGAACCCGAGACCTTCGCTCTGATACCATGTCAGAATCCCAACCACTAGACCATTGGGATAAAAGGGCTTGTTAAGTAGCGGGTCAGTGCGCCCATAACCCCCCAGGCCAACATGCCTGTAACCCTTCCCTAGGATCAATCGGGGATCACCAATGGACCTCCGACAGAGGGGATCTGCAGCACCAGCCCCCCCCCCGCCCCCTCTTCTCCTCCATTCCCCTGCTGTGGGTGCAGCAGTGGGGGGGAGGGGATCTGCAGCACCAGCCCCCTCCGCCCCCCCCCCCCCCCCCTTTTCTCCTCCATCCCCCTGCTGCGGGTGCAGCAGTGGGGGGGGGGGGGGGTATGGGGGTGGCAGGAAGGGATCTGCAGCACCAGCCCCCCCCGCCCCCCCACCCCCCCCCCCATTCTCCTCCGTCCCTCTGCTGCGGGTGCAGCAGTGGGGGGAGGGGATCTGCAGCCCTGTGAGCCCCGCGCGCCCTGCAGCCCTGTGCGCCCCGCGCGCCCTGCTGTCCTGCTGCCCTACGCGCCCTGCAGCCCTGCGCGCCACGCGTGCCCTGCTGTCCTGCACGCCCCGCGCGCCCTGCAGCCCTGTGCGCCCCGCGCACCCTGCTGCCCTGCAGCCCTGTTCGCCCCGCGCGCCCTGCTGCCCTGCAGCCCTGTGCGCCCCGCGTGCCCTGCTGCCCTGCTGCCCTGTGCGCCCCGTGCGCCCTGCAGCCCTGCGCGCCCTGCGCGCCCTGCTGTCCTGCTGCCCTGCGCGCCCTGCGCGCCCTGCAGCCCTGCGCGCCACGCGCGCCCTACTGTCCTGCGCGTCCCACGTGCCCTGCAGCCCTGTGAACCCCACGCGCCCTGCTGCCCTGCAGCCCTGTTCGCCCCGCGTGCCCTGCTGCCTTGCAGCCCTGTGCGCCCCGCGTGCCCTGCTGCCCTCCTGCCCTGTGCGCCCCGTGCGCCCTGCTGCCCTGCTGCCCTGCAGCCCTGCACGCCACGTGCGCCCTGCTGTCCTGCGCGCCCCGCACGCCCTGCTGTCCTGCTGCCCTGCGCACCCCGCGCGCCCTGCAGCCCTGCGCGCCACGCGCTCCCTGCTGTCCTGCGCGCCCCGCGCGCCTTGCGGCCCTGTGCGCCCCGCGCGCCCTGCTGCCCTGCTGCCCTGTGCGCCCCGCGTGCCCTGCAGCACTGTGCGCCACGCGCGCCCTATTGTCCTGCGCGCCCCGCGCGCCCTTCTGCCCTGCTGCCCTGTGCGCCCCGTGCGCCCTGCTGCCCTCTGCACGCGCATCTGCGGCCCCATGCACAGCCCCTACCCCGCCCCCCCCCCCCCCTTCTCCTCCCTCTCCCTGCTGCACGTGCAGCAGTTTGGGTGGGAGGGGAGGGGAGGGGAGGGTGTGAGGGGGAGGTTGCACCTACAGCGCCAGCCTGCCTCCTCTCTCTCCCAGCCGCACCTGCTGCTGTGGGGGGGAGTGTGAAGTGGTGGTGAGGCTCAGGGGATGTGGGTGGTGGGTGACACAGCTGCCGCAAATGTCGCCACGCCTCCTCCTCTCTCTCCTCACTGCTGCTGCTGCTGCTGCTGTGCGGGGGGAGGTTGAGGGGGTGGTGTGAGTCCAGCTGCAGCATCAGCCGCCTCCTCCTCATTTGCCCTCTCCTTCTTCCGCTGCGCAGGGTGTACCCCTTCAGGGGGTGTTCTGCACATGGCTATTTCTGCATGCAGTTAGGGGGTGTGTCAAAATATATTATATATATATTTCTGTATAACTGCATATAGTTATAGCTGTAGTGTAGTTACTGTTTTAGTCCCTGTAGGTGGTGCACCCTTTGCCATCTCTCGCTCCTATATCTTGTACCTTGCTTTCTTAGTGAAACCACTTCTTCCTTGCTTTCTCAACTCTCTCGACACTTGCCTAGCTCTGACACCCTAGCTATGGCTCCTATGACTTTAATAGTATTCGCCTCGGAACACGCTCGCATGAAGCTGCGTGCCTGGTCGCAGTTGGCTTCTGTTCAAGACTACACGGCGTCATTTATGCCACTCGCTGATCATGTGGACGACATGGCGGAAGCTGAGCGGTTGGATAAGTACATTGGCAGCCTCAAATACGAGATACAGTACGAGGTGCGCTGCAGGTGTCCAGCTACTTTTATCGAAGCCGTACGATTGGCGGAATCTACGGATGCGTTGATGTAGTGGGCGAGGTCGAGTTCCCGGGAGGGAAACCGATTTCGTGGACAGACCAAACGGGCCACAATTAATGGAGTCCATGCGCTTGACTGCCCTTTTACAGGGTTGTGTTATAAGTGCGGGAAGCTAGGTCACATGTATAAAGACTGGCCCGACAAGATGAAGAGAAGGAGGAACGACGGTAGAGATCCGGGAAATGGGAAGAGTCTGTAACAGACGGGCCCCTTACTGACTGTGCTCTGTCGCCCGAACACCACCATCCCCACTGAGTAGTGAATCCGATTCATACAAATGATCGCACTCGGACGACTAACGGGGGTGAGCTTGTGGATCACCCTATGCTGGTTGTTGGCACGGTTGTTAAGAAAAAAAAAATGTTAGTTGATTGCGGGGCCAGCCATAGCCTCTTTAATCTGGTGACAACAAAAGAATGTTGATTACCCCTGACACGTGTCTGCCCAAGATTGACGCTCGTCTGGTCGATGGGACGCCTCGCGATTTTGGAAGAAATATGGATGGTGCAGATTGAGTGCGGCGACAATTTCGGCTTCAGCATGAAGTTTTTTGCGACAACTTTGGACGGCTGCGACGCGCTCTTGGGACGCGATTGGCTGCGACGACACAACCCGATCATCGACTGGACAGCGGGATCATGCAGCATCAGCAAGCATCAGGGGCTGATTACTCTGCCCACGTGGACTCCGAACGACATCAAGTCTACATGCGTCAATGCTATCACTATTACACGCCACTTCAACAGGGGTGCAGAGTTGTACGCCGTTCATCTGCGCGAGTTGGTAGCCGGCACCGACGAAAAGGACATCAACAAGTTGTGTGCAGCTGTACCACCAGAGTTGGCGCAGCTGATACGACAGTACCCCGACATCTTCCCCGGCCTACCACTGGAACGACCAGACGTCCACAAAATAACGCACGAGCCCGGCGTGCAACCAATAGTTCGTACATTGTGGCGGCTGACTCAGCCTGAACCCGCGGAGCTACGAAGTCAAATTGACGCACTGTTGAAGGGCTTCATCAGACCCGGTACGTCACCCTTCGCGGCACCGATCGTGTTCACGACAAAAAAGGACGGCGGCATGCGCATGTGCATCGACTATCGCGTGCTCAAGCGGGTTACAATTAAGTCTCGCTACCCCATCCCATGCACCGACGACCTCCTCGACCAACTTCGATCGCGGTTACCACCAGATCAGAGTCTTAGCTGGCGATTGTCACAAGACTGCATTTCGAACCCGCTACGGCAATTACGAGTTTACTGTGATGCCTTTCGGCCTCACGAACACGCCTTCGACTTTTCAACTAACCATGAACAGGATATTTCGAGAGCTTTTCGACAAGTGTGTCATCGTCTACTTGGATGATATCCTGATTTTTAGCAGGACACGCGAACAACACCTCGACGCAGTGTTTAAACGGCCTCAAAACAACCGACTGATCACCAAGAGGTATACGTGCGGTTTTTTTTAGCTGGAGTTGGAGTTTTTGGAACACGCCATCTCATTAGGATTGACCCAAAGAAAATCCAGACTATTCGAGAGTGGAAGGCCCTGACTAATGTCACGAAACTTCAGAGTTTCCTGGGGTTTGTGAATTATGTTAGTTTATCCCGAATCTGGCAGAGATAACCCGCCCGCTGACCGACCTTTTGCTCAAAGATAAAAAAAAATGTGTGGCAAGAGGAGGTGCAGGTGGCTTTTTAGGAGTTGAAGAAATTTCTTGTGTCCCCTCCAGTCCTGCGCATCGCCGACCCATCGAAGCCGTTCGAAGTCATCACCGACGCTTCAGATTTCGCCATCGGTGCTGCACTACTCCAAGATTTCGGCACCGGTTTACAACCGATCGCCTACGAGTCACACAAGCTGCAAGTAGCTGAACGCAACCACCCGATCCACGACAAGGAAATGCTGGACATCATCCACGAGTTTTAACTTTGGCGCTGCTACCTGACAGATGCCAACGTCACAGTGCAAACAGACCACAAGTCCCTACAGTATCTCCGTGCAACCCAACCTCAACCTGCGACAAATCAGGTGGCTCGACTACTTCGCATTTCCAATATCGCATCACCTACAAAAAGGGCGCGAAGAACATTTCCGACGCCCCGACCCTCCCGACAGTCCAATCTGCTGCGATACTCATCACCCATTCGAACCCGCTACTTTCAGGGCTATTCATCCACTGCTACACGACGGTCCCATTCTTCATGACAGGAAGTCACCAGCAAGTAATAACGCATAAAAGAGGACTATTACCTAAAAGCCGGAACCGGTCGGATTTGGGTACTCGCTTACCGTCTGCTGCGTGAATTACTTATCCAGGAGGCCAACGATTTCAACCTCTCCTGACATTTCGGAGTTGAGAAGAAGCAGAAAATTCTGCACCGTCAGTATTATTCACCCGATTCCTCCTCTGATGTGCAGCATTATGTGTCTTCATGCAGAGTGCGCCAGGCAGTGAAATCAACACGTCAACGACCGGCCGGCTTGCTGCAGCCCCTCGAGCTACCCGAGAGACCGTGGCAATAAGTGACAATGAATTTTGTCACGGGGCTTCCAGCTGGCGCGTCCGGTGTCGGAGAACACCTCTCCTCCCCGCTGCTGTTCTTCTTCTCGCCGCCCTTCTTCCCCACCTGCCCTCTCTCTCTCTCTCTCCGACCTTCCCTTCTCTGCCTTGCCCCGCCTCAGTCACCCACTTGAAAGAGTTTGGTCCCTCACCCCGTAGGTTCCCCTCTTAGTGACGTGCCACGGTGTGCTAGAGCGTAGATGACAACCTTCACTAGTTCGAGAGAATAACAAGCCAAAGGCAAGGAAGGGGTGGGCGTGAGGGACCTTACCCAGCCCCAAGCTGCACATTTCCCAAATGTGTGGCTCGGGATTGGTGTTCCCTGGTTTCACAATTCGCCCTTCAGTCCATTTCCCCCGTGATTCCAACCGCTTTGATTCGGTTCCCCCCTTCTACACCCCTCTACAACAGACATATCGCTACATTCTACACCCCTATGCTATTCGTAATATATAAGCCTTCCTACACCTATGGTCGTACGTTAGCATAATAACTATACCTGCATCCCACTGTTATAGCATATGTACTGAATGCATATGATGTGACAGCTGTCGGAGAACACCTCTCCTCCCCACTGCTGTTCTTCTTCTCGCCGCCCTTCTTCCCCACCTGCCCTCTCTCTCTCTCTCTCTCTCTCTCTCTCTCTCTCTCTCTCTCTCTCTCTCTCTCTCTCTCCCACCTTCCCTTCTCTGCCTTGCCCCGCCTCAGACACCCACTGCCCCTTCCTGTGCTCGGGCTCGAGCTGCTTGGGCTCGTGTCACAGGACCTCCATGCTGAGGCTTACTTCCCTTCACCAGGGCTGTGTTGCTCTGGTGCTCCTTCAACCGTGCTCCCCTTTTGTTCTCCAACACCAGTATCCCTGAGGGACGCACTTCCCTCACCCTCCATCTCTCTATCCCCACCTCGACGTCCAAGGTATCTTGTTTTGCCCGTTTCAGGTACACCTCTTGCCCCTGGCTCAGCTGTGCGGTGTGAAGGTTTTCTAGTGCTGCTGGCATCACCACCCGCAGGTACTTGGCCCTGGCTTCTGACAGTTCCACCCAGTTGTCGATGGTGCCTGCTGTCACCGTGTCTGTGAGGACCCGCGAGGCACCCACTGGCAGCACTGGTTCACAACCGAACAGGAGGCTGTAAGGTGAATGATCCTTCAAGGCCGCCTGCTTCCCAAATCTGTACCCCACGGCCACCCAATGCAGCTCATCATCCCAGTCCCGCTTCCTCCTCTCCCCATATGCCCGCAGCCCTCGCTTGAGAGTCTGGACCAGCCGCTCTGTCAACCCGTCACTCTGTGGGTGATAGCGGGAAGTGCGCCTGTGATTGATTCCAGCTTCTTCTAGCAGCTTCTTGAACTCCCCCTGGAACTCTGATCCCTGATCGGTGAGCACCTCTGCACATGCTCCAAATCTGCATATCACCTGCTCCTTGAACGCTGCTGCCACATGCCTCGAGCTTTCACTGGGGATAGCCCTCACCTCCAGCCACTTGCTCACATGCTCCACCATCAGCACTATGTACTGCTTTCCCCCTCGGCT